AACAGACACACAGACACATAAACACACACACATACACACATAAATAGACACATAAGCACAGACACACACACACACACATATATATCCCCTTGGCATTCTACATTTTCTGTCTTTGGTTATAACATTTTTAAGCACAGAGGTTTTCTTTTTCTTTTCTTTTTTTTTTTTTTTTTTTTTTTCTTTTTATGAGATGGAGTCTTACTCAGTTGCCCAGGCTGGAGTGCAGTGGTGCGATCTCGGCTCACTTCAGGCTCTGCCTCTTGGATTCACGCCATTCTCTCCTGCCTCAGCCTCCCAAGTAGCTGGAACTACAGGCACCCGCCACCATGCCTGGCTAATTTTGTTTGTATTTTTTTTAGTAGAGATGGAGTTTCACCATGTTAGCCAGGATGGTCTCGATCTCCTGACCTCGTGATCTGCCCTCCTCAGCCTCCCAAAGTGCTGGGATTACAGGTGTGAGCCACCGCACCCAGCCAATGCACAGAGATTTTCTAATTCTGTATAATAAGGTCTATTAGATTTTGTTTCTTTATACTTTTCATTGGCACTTAGCCCTTAACTCCTTTTTTGGTTCTATATATTACATTTAACTTTTAAATTACTCTTGAATTGTATTCCTCACTATTCCTTTAGAATTGTCTATTATATTATTGTAGCTTCTTTTTTTCTTTTTTTTTTTTTTGAGACGGAAAACAAGGAGAGTTTAGATGCTTGAAAAAAAAAAAAAAAAAAAGAAAAGAAAAAGAAAACCTCTGTGCTTAAAAATGTTATAACAAAGACAGAAAATGTAGATGCCAAGGGGATATATATGTGTGTGTGTGTGTCTGTGCTTATGTGTCTATTTATGTGTGTATGTGTGTGTTTATGTGTCTGTGTGTCTGTGTGTGTGTGTATGTGTGTGGGTGTGAAATAAACCAAAGAGAACAGTGGACAAAAGACAGGAACAGACCACACATATGAAGAGAAAAACAAACGGCCAACAAGCAGGGACAAATAATAGTCTTAAAGCCTCAAAATGGCAAATATAAAAATCAAGGCAGGAACGACCCCATGCTGGCCAGGGAGTGGTGACAGTGGCATGTCAGAGCCGCTGGGAACAGCTCACAGCAGGCCCACCAGGTCAGATTCCACCCAGGAACAGCGATGAGCTTGTGTTCATAACCTTCACCAGGTAACCGCATTTCTCAGAATGTACTCAGAGGAAATGATCAAAGATGGGCACAGAGGCCTATGTTAAATAATTATTTATAGGCAACATCTTGATGTTTAATAGTAAGGGAATAGATAAATTAAGATGCAACTGTAACATAGAAAATGATGTGGCCAATTATGCCTGAAAATATTTTATAACATGGAAAATACTTATCATAAAATGTTAAATGGAAAAGGATAAAAATAATACGTAGAATATGAATCTAATTTTCCTTTTTTTTTTCTTTCTGAGATGGAGTTTTGCTCTTGTTTGTCGCCCTGGTTGGAGTGCAGTGGCACAATCTGGGCTCACTGCAACCTCCACCTCCCGCGTTCAAGTGATTCTCCTGCCTGAGGCTCCCGAGTAGCTGGGATTACAGGCGCCTGCCACCACGCCCGGCTAATTTTGTATTTTTAGTAGAGACAGGGTTTCACCATGTTGGCCAGGCTGGTCTCGAACTCCTGACCTCAGGTGATCCGCCCACCTCAGCTTCCCAAAGTGCTGGGATTATAGGCATGAGCCACCGCACCCAGCCTAATTTTCTTTTAAATGAAAAACGATATGTATACATGCATAGAAAACAACTGGAAGACAATGTATCTAAATGTTAATAGTACTTATCTCCAGGTAATGATCCATGAACTGATTCTGAAGGTCTTTGTTTTGAGACAGGGTTTTGCTCTATCACCCAGGCTGGAGTGCAGTGGTGCCATTATGACTCACTACAGCCTTGACCTCCTGGCTTCAAGCGATCCTCTCACCATAGCCTCCAGAGTAGCTGCGACTATAGGCACGCACCACCATGCCCAGCTAATTTTTTTTGTATTTTTTGTAGAGATGGGATCTCCCTATGTTGCCCAGGCTGGTCTTGAACTCCTGGGCTCAAGCGATCTTGCGTTGGCCTCTCAAAGTACAGGCATGGGCCACTGAGCTGGAACCTGAGGGTCATTTTTATTATGATTTTGTGATTTAAAAAATTTTTTTCCAATATACATATAAAATTCATAATCAGGGAAAAGTTTTTACATACATAAAAGAAAAACATCAAGACTCCAATATAAAGAGGGACAAAGGGCATATTCAAATATTTTTCAAAAAGAAAGATCAATAGGCTGGGTGCAGTGGCTCATGCCTGTAACCCCAACACTTTGAGAGGCTGAGGTGGGAGGATCGCTTGAGACCAGGAGTTCAATACCAGCCTGAGCAACACAGTGAGATCCCTCTGTTCCCCCAAAAATTTAGCTGGCCGTGGTGGTGCACACCTGCAGTCCCAAAGTCCCAACCATTCAGGAGGCTGAGGTAGGAGGATCACCTGAGCCAGGGAGGTTGGGGTTTCAGTGAGCTGTGATCACACCACTGCACCATGGAAATAACTTCAACATCCAACAAAAGAGTATCTAAGAGACCAGAGAGAACACTGTGCCTCTGTTTAGAAGTATAACAAGGAGAGTTTAGATGCTTGAAAAAAAAAAAATTGCTACAAAGCTAAATAGGGAAACAAGATAAAAACTATAGATATGCTATGTTTAAAATAATGCAAAGTTCTATATGAGCAAAGCAGAGGGTAATGTATCAAAGTGCAAAATGCAGTTTTATTAAGAATTATGGGGATTTTATTTTTCATAAGTCCACATTTTCTGAACTGTGGTTATTTTCCCAGCATAATTTAAAAAGCATACTGAAAGAATTTCATAAATGATAGCACTCCATACAAACGTAAAGTATTATCACCAAGAGGGCAGCTTATTCTTGCTTAGGACTGAGTAGAAATAACATTCATTCAAGATTAACTCTGTCTTCCTATCTCTGAAGAGTGTCGGGACAGGGGACAGGGAGAGCCACCTTTTCCAGGGTTTGTACAACACCTCCATGTGGGACCACCATGGAGCCCGTCTCCCTGGGCTTCAGCTCTCTGCCTCCAGTGGATGCTGGGAGGGGCTTCTTCTGTGACCTGGGCTGGTGACTGGTGCTACATAGTGAGAAGCCCTGCAGGGCAGCCTCACCAGCCCAGGGTGGCCTTGCCCAGCCCCAATCAGTGAAGGGGAGCCTCCAGACACATCTATCTTGATGTTGTGCCCATCTTCCCTGGATGCACTGGGCACTGCCTGGGAGTTCCCAATTTCTCACCAGGGGCTAAATGGCAAGAGGTGATGTTGGCATGTTAGGATCTGGCTACAACGCTGCTGGGCCATGCTGTGACAGCTGTGGGAACACCCCTGACTGCACTGTCACTAACACACAGCTCTGCAGTAGGGCTATTTACATGAGGTAAGTCCAGGAAATTCACTTTTTCCAAATGCCCACGGCCCAAGATTATTCTCCTCTCTAGCAATATAATAATGTTCACTGGAAAGTAATGCTATTCATAATTCTTGTTTTATTATTATTCTGAAAATAATAGTTTATGGAGGAAACTCCTGATGGAAGCCATGTCAGGAGTCTGTCCGAGGATACAACAGTTGATATACCTCCTTTTTATTTCACACAGGGTCTTGCTTTGCCACCCAGGCTGCAGTGCAGTGCTGTGAATCATGACTCACTGCAGCCTTGACCTCCCAGGCTCAAATCCTCCTCCCACCTCAGCCTCCTGAGTAGCTGGGACCACAGGGACACGCCACCACATCTGGCTAATTTTTGCATTTTTTGTAGAGACGAGGTCTCACCATGTTGTCCAGGCTGGTCCTAGACTCCTGGGCTCAAGCGATCCCCTTGCCTTGGCCTCCCAAAGTGTTGAGATTACAGGTGTGAGCCATGGCACCCAACAAGATCCCTTCTTTTTATTGGCAAGAAAGATCTTTCCCCTTGTCAACAACTTCCAGGTCCATCAAGGAAAACAGGTGACGGGACTACCTCAAATGGCTCTCAACTTTCCTCCTGGAGTGTGGCCCTTCTGGGGAGGTGACTGACTTTAACTAAAAGAGGCACCCTGGCATGCAGACCTGATTGGGGTGATAAGGCAAGGCTCCCACACCTGGAGGAAGGTGGTCTGGATCTAGGAGCCAGGGAGGATCAGGTGCTTTCCTCGTTGAGTAGCTCAGAAGGCGGCTACTGACACCAAAGCACATCATGTTAGTTTCGAGGTTTGCTTCCCAGGGAGAAATTCCTGCCAGCTCGGGGCGGAACGACGCACAAGAGCTTTGCCACATCCAGCGCGTCGATGGGGTCCACGTCCCTCAGCCCAGCATCCCCTGCACCCAGCAGGCTGCCAGGCACGTAGTATGTGCTGAGCAAGTGTTTGTTGAACTGGATGGCCAACGGCTTCCCCTGGCTGTGCAGCCTCTGGTGCTCAGTGAGGTGCGAGCTCCAGTTGAACATCTCCCCACATTGCTCACACTTAAACGACTTCTCCCCGGAGTGGATTTTCTGATGTTTAATGAGACAGTGGTTCTGACTGAAGGCTCTGCCACACTCGCCGCACTTGTAGGGCTTCTCACCAGTGTGGATGCGCTGGTGCACGATGAGGGACGAGTGGCAGCTGAAGGCCTTCCAACACTGGCTGCAGTCGAAGGGCTTCTCGCCTGTGTGGATGCGCCGGTGCACGATGAGGTAGGCGTGGGAGCTGAAGGCTTTGCCGCACTCGTTGCACTTGAAGGGCTTCTCGCCGCTGTGGATGCGCCTGTGCACGAGCAGGTACGCGTGGCAGCTGAAGCCCTTTCCGCAGTCGGCGCACTTGAAGGGCTTCTCGCCGCTGTGGATGCGCCTGTGCACGAGCAGGTACGCGTGGCAGCTGAAGCCCTTTCCGCAGTCGGCGCACTTGAAGGGCTTCTCGCCCGTGTGCGTCCTCTGGTGGAGGGTGAGGCGCGAGCGGCTGTTGAAAGCCTTCTCGCAGTCGCTGCACTTGAAAGGCTTGTCCCCGCTGTGGATCTTCTCGTGCACGGTGAGGGACGAGTGGCAGGTGAAGGCCTTGCCGCAGGAGCCGCACTGGTAGGGCTTCTCGCCCGTGTGTATGCGGTGGTGGCGTGTGAGGTGCGTACGCTGGTTGAAGGCCTTGCCGCACTCGCCGCACCGGTAGGGCTTCTCGCCGGTGTGCACCCGCAGGTGCATGCTGAGCAGCGAGCTGCAGCTGAAGGCCTTCTCGCAGGCGCTGCACTTGTAGGGCCGCTCGCCCGTGTGGATGCGCTGATGCACGTTGAGGGACGAGTGGCAGCTGAAGGCCTTCCCGCACTCGCCGCAGAAGAAGGGCTTCTCGCCCGTGTGGATGCGCCGGTGCTCCAGGAGGTTGGTGCTCCAGGTGAAGGCCTTGCCGCACTCATCGCACTTGTAAGCCTTCTCCCGGCTGTGCCAGCGCCGGTGCAGCGTGAGGGAGGAGCTCTGGCGGAACGCCTTCCCGCATTCGCCGCACACGAACTCGCCCTCCCCGGCGCCCGCCCCGCGCTGCCGGCGCGCCTGGGGGAACTTGTGCGACTCACTCGGCGTAGGGGCGTTTTCTCCCGCACACAGTCTAGCAGGAGCGTTGGTTCTGCCCTCAGTAGCCTGGACGTTCTTGCGTGTGTCCAGCAAGCGTCCCCCCTCGGGAACGCGTTGCTGGGCGAAGAGGGGACACCTAAGGGGGAATTTCTCTACAGGGACGTCCCAGACGATAGCATGTGCAGGCGCCCAGGGCGCAGCCTGACTCCTCCGCAGAGCACCGGCCTGGCGCCCCCACGCCTGCGCCCCGCCCAAGGGCCGCTCCGTGATGGGCTCCTGGGCGGGTTCTTCTTTGCAAATACCCTGCTGTTGAGAGGGCACCGCCTTCAGCTGCCATTCTGTAAGATATTGAAAGTGATTTTCTGTGAGCAAGCGGAAACCTGGCCTAGAATTCAGATTTGAGAACTGACCTGGAGATGCAGATAAGCCCAGAAAAGAGAGGAGAGGACACCAGGGCCAAGGCTGGAAGGCGCAGGCAGAGAGAAGGGAGAGCCCAGGATGAGATGTGCAAGCAAGAGCGGGAAGAAGGGAGAGGAAGAAAACGCAAGGAGCTACCAGAGAGCAAAGACTGGGAAAGGTGGAGAGGCCAAGGGAATCGCCGGAGGAGCAGCTACAAGCACCAAGGGGGCTGAGAAAGGGGCAAGCTGGGGAGCTGGTGATCAGGATTACACTCATTCACAGACACATCGGCTGACCGACTGCTGTGTCAATACCATGGCAGGTGATCGTAATACATAGGGCAAATACAAGTTTTTTGTGTGTTTGTATTTTTTGAGACGGAGTCTCGCTGTCGCCCAGGCTGGAGTGCAGTGGCGTGATCTCGGCTCACTGCAAGCTCGGCCTCCCTGGTTCACGGCATTCTCCGGCCTCAGCCTCCCGAGTAGCTGGGACTAATAAATGAATTAAAAATTGTCTGTGGTGCCAAAAGGAAAAAAGGGCCTCCCACACCCCAGCGCTTCCCTTTAGAACACTGGGAACTGCAAACGCTTTCTCTGTTTGAGATGCATGCAAACCTCTTCAGAAGCGAAATGACCCTAGTCCAAGAGTCCAGTCCAAGATGTAACTTCCTGCTTGTCAAAAAGGTACAAGAGGCTGAGTGCGGTGGTTCTTGCCTGTAATCCCAGCACTTTGGGAGGTCAAAGTGGGCGGGTCACTTGAGCCCAGATCAAGACCAGCCTGGGCAACACAGACCCCACTACAAAAAATACAAAATTTTGTATGGAATGATGGCACATGTCTGTAGTCCCAGCTACTCAGGAGGCTGGGGTGGGAGGATCACCTGAGCCTGGGGAGATTGAGGATGCGAGCTATGATCACGCAACTGCACCCCAGCCTGGGCAATAGAGACCCTATCTCAAAATAAATAAATAAATAAATAAATAATAAAAACCCAAAAAGCTGTACTCTTCCTTTAGGTGAAGACAGTTGCCCTGTGTGCTGGGTTGGATCTGTCTCCTCTGTCAAAGGGGGATGTTTCTTTCTATCCTGCACACCACATCTGGTTAACCACTTATTCGATAAGAAGGCTTGCTTTCTTTTCTATCTCTATAGCAAGGTTTTCTGAGCTGGCAGGAGATTTTATTTCTAATTCTGTCCTCCCCAGGCTTAAAAAGGGGCATCTAGTGCAGTGGGCAGAGCTGCACGGTGGTGCTGCCCGTGGCCTCAACCCATCCAGAAGGGCAGGGCAAGTGGAACTGGCCATGGCACACATGGCAGGTAGCCAGGTGGAGAGCGAACAGCATGTGCAGAGGCTCAGAGGTGAGACAGTAAGATGAAGACAAGATACGCAGAGGCAGGAAGGCTGAGAGGTGACCCTGGCAAGGTGGATGGGTTTGAGGTGACCAGATGCCTGACTCAGAGGGCAGTCGGGGAAGAAAGGCCTTTTGCACAGAGGGTGACCCTTGATCATGTGGTATCTTGGTGGGGGGCGGGGAGCAGGGGAAGCAGGGGGCAGGGACAGAGTCTCGCTCTGTTGTCCAGGCTGCAGTGCAGGGGTACAATCATGGCTCAATGCAGCCTCCAGCTCCTGGGCTCAAGTGATCCTCCTGCCTTGGCCTCCCAAAGCGCTGGGATTAGATGTGTGAGCCCCTGTGCCTGGTATAATGGTTTGTCTTGAAGGTGGCTTTGGTGGTGTGTAAGGAGGTGGGAGCGAGCAGTTAGGGAGGCCAGTTAGGGAGGCCATCTGAATAATTCAGGTGAAAAATGGCAACTTCAGACTGGTACCAAGGCTGTGAAAATGAACAGGAAGCAGCCGATCTGAGAGCCATCGAGGAGCTAAAACTGATGGCTCTAGCTGTTGACTGAAGGTGGCAAGAGAGGAAATGGGGGAGAGGATGAGACCTCAGCAAACACCCAAGCCAAGGATGGACGGTGGAAGCTTTTGCAAAGACAGGGACGGGAGGAGGAAGGTCCAGTTCCAAGTCTGGTCTTAGACATGCAGGCAGAGGCCCACGAGGTGATCAGTGACACAGGGCTGCAGCTCAGCTGGTGTTGCTATAGTGTAGACCATGCTCACACCAAGTGAGAGGTGAGTCTAGGGAAGGTGCACAGAGCAGAGAGAAGAGGCCCAGGCCAGAAAAAAGTCGTTTTGGCAGCAATAGGGCCAACAACACAGCAGGGCACATACATCTAAGGGATAACGTACAATCAGTAAACATCACGTGAGGATGCTCACTATGCCATGGCCAGTGTGGTAGCCAGACTCCGGCGTGCGTGCTGTGCTTCCAAGGATGCGTAAGGCTTTATTTATTTATTTATTTGAGAGGGGGTTTAGCTCTGTCTCCCAGGCTGGAGTGCAATGGTGCGGTCATGGCTCACTGCAACCTCTGCCTCCCAGGTTCAAGTGATTCTCCTGCCA